TGTTGAGATCGAGACCAAAACTCAACTGTTTAGTGAAATATTCTACGGTTTAAGCTAATCATCTCATAAACTATCAATCATGACATGATTCAAGACAGATGATCCAAAAAGTGCTATTTGTTGACTAAATAAATCACAAAACGGATGTTGAAGAATGTTTTTGGATTTGAAACGAATCAAATTTGGTATAGCTTTTTCTAAACTGAGATCGAGACGGAATTTTCTTGCTGGTGTCACATGATAAGGTTATTTTTAATGAATCACTTTGGCGGATAGAAAAGCTGAACAAAATTCATAAAATTTAAAATAAAAAGCCTGTTAGCGCAGCCCCTTCGAGGCTGAAATGTGGAACTCACGTATATACTCCAGCTTCATTATACTAATATGCAATATAGATAGTATAAAATCATGAATTTTTAATTTTCTGACAGGTACCCTTATTTTTCGTCTTCTTTGTTGCTATTCGTTCAGTGTTTTTCATTTTTAACATTGCTTTTTTGTTTAATTTTACATTTTTATTATAAGCAGCATTGAATTATATGGCGAATGAAGCTATTATATATATATGTATATCCATTATTTGAAACCTGATCGCAAAGATCTGTGATGGGAGCCTGTCTGTAAGGGGAGGGGTAGCCGCGAAAAACTTGAACTTGAAACTTACACTCACTATTTTCTTCGAAAATATACATGAGTTCCACAAAACATGAACTTATTCTTTACATTGACAACACTAAAATAAACTATTACGATAGAACTACCCAAACTGATAGCCTCCGTTAAATCTCATAGTTGATTCATAACGAGATCTCTGGAGTATTTACAGAAAAATCAAATCACGGTATGTCGGTCGGAAATTTTTTTTCATAAGCAAACCGGATAACTAATAAAACAGATGAGCACGACTCCTTTTAGAATTCATCTAGCCCTTCGGAGATTCTCTTAGGAACCTAATATGATCTCAAACGACGGATACCAGCTCGAGTAAATCCCTTATCAGTTTTACCAACATAATTTTGTAGACATTCTTGTTAAAGTGTTTTTTTTTGTTATCTTTGATTCGTTTATCATAAAATGATTACACATAAAATTTCTTCTATTGGTGTCGTTTTCAAAATGAGTGAATATATTCCCAATTAGTGCTCTTGTCACATGCACAAAATAAACGCGCATATGCAATAGCAACAGATTCAGAGGATAAAAAAAAGAAACAAAACAAACAAAGATAAAGAAAATGTTAACAAGAACACAGCAACCGGAGAATAAACTAGATAATCATCAAAGCATATATATAATGGATAAAAAATGATTGCAATAACTATGGACTTTCCTATTCTTGTGTTGTTTTTTTTTATATAATGATAAATAGTCAAAAACATAAAAAGAAATAAGGTAAATAAACGAAAAATTTTGAATAGAATATATGATGTGTATATATTTCTTTCTTATCGTTTGATTTAGTTTTAGTCTTACTACGAATAACTGTTGTAAAGAGGAAAAGAATCAAGAGACAAACAACAAATAAAAGAGAAAAAAGGGTCTTTTTAGTAACTATATCATTAGCATTCTCATACTTGAACTACGATAAGTTTTAAAGATCTATATGGGCTGCTTCTTCATTCTCATCAGCTTCTTCTGTTTGTTCTTCCGTCTAAAAAGACAAAAATTACTTATTGTTTTTCTGTAAATGTAAATAATGCTTTTGAAACATACTTCTTCAGGAATGTGACCTGCTTCTTTTCCATTTGAGTCAACGAATTTTGCAAGTGCTTCAAGTGTACGTTCTCCTTGATAATCAATAACTTCATCAGAATCTTTAGGAAATAATCTAGAAAATAACTTGATTTAATAAGAAAATTTTTCATTTCAATCGAGATTTTTACTTTATCGTTGGGAAACTTTGAATTTTAATATCTTCAAGTTCATTAGCAGTAGCATCCATCTTAGCGATAACAACATCGACATTATCTTTATATTTTTCACCTAATTGTTCATAAATAGGTGTTAATTGTTTGCAATGACCACACCTATAAGGAATTATCTTACTTAACTTTTTTATTCTCTATATAATTAATTAATCTTACCAAGGAGCAATAAATGTGACAAGTACAGTTTTCTTCTTATCATGAGCGACTTCATGAAAATTTTTGCCAACTAAAATTTTAACTGGTGTTTTATCCCAATCATCAGGAATATCTTGTGTAAGTAAATGTGGTTTAAGTTTTCCATCAAAGAAAGCTTTAACAAAATCGACTAAAACTTCAGATGTTATATCTGATGAATCAGGTTTAAATTTGCTCATTTCATCTTTTAATGTAATTAAACGAACAGCTGGAACATTTGATGTTTTAAGACCAAAAAATTCAAGCACACGTTCATTTTCTTCATCATCAGAATCAATTGCAACGAAAAGTGTCTAAATAAATAATGAAATTTAATTTTTGAAAAAAAAATTAATTATTTTTTTTTGTTACTTTTCCACGATATGTTTTAGCAGCAGTTTTAAATTCTTCACGAAGTTTTTCATAATCACTGCTTTTTTTACTAGCAAATAAAAGTACATGAACTTTAATGTCACCACCGAAAATTTTTTGTGCTGTCTAAATATTAAGAAGAAAATTAATAAATTTTATTTTTTTCATATCTTTTCTTACTTCAGCACTAAAATCAACAACAATTGGAAGTTGATTTTCTTGAATAAATTGACGTATTGAACTTTCATCAATCGATGATGTAAGATCATTACGACCTTCGTCAAACTAAATATACAAAAAAAAAATTAAATTAAAATAAAAAATCACAAAAAATAAAAGATACTTTTTTCAAGAGAACAATTGTATCTTGTTTAACATTAAGTTCTTTAAGAACATCAGCATTTGATGTTATACCAAATGGAATACCATCAATTGTTTTAGCTACTTGAAGAAATGATGCAGCAGTATCACCATCCATATCCTATTAAAAAATTAAAAAATATTAATATAAAAGAATAAAATAAAATCAATAATTAACCTTAAAAACACCAATAACAACAACATCACTAGCTTGTTTTAGTTTATTAAGATCATCAACAGTTTTTAATTCATCAGCTGCTGGTCCAGTTTTCTTTTTTAACCAACCAACAATATCATCTTGTGTACGTCCACCAGTATATTCAAATGTAACACCATCACTAAAAAATTTTATTGTTGGATAACCTTTAACTTCATATTTTTGTGCAAGATCTTGTTCAATTGTTGCATCAACACTAGCTAATTTAATTTCACTACCAGATTCAGCTAATTGTTTAGCAGCAGCAGCATAAGCTGGTGCTAAAGCTTTACAATGACCACACCATGGTGCAACAAATTTAACAAGTATATGTTTATGAGTTTTTACAGCATCATCAAATGTATCCTTTGTAAGTGAAAGAACATCACTTTCATCAACATTGGATGTATCATCACAACGAATATGTTTGGTTGTTTGTGTAAGAATAATAATAACAGCTAAAATTACTGCTTGTGTAAAACCTGGAAACATTATTTTTTATCTATATTTGCTAATAAAAACCAATACAGTGATCTGAAAGCAAAAAATGAAAAAAGGCTTCGATATCTATCAATCTATATATATATAACGTTGTTAGTATGTATAGATATGTTCGAATAAACTGTGCCCCATCAGGATTAAGAAAAGAAAAAATAGTGATCGATTCCACCATCCAAAATGATCCACGACGATATGCTGACTTCTACAGAATACCCATCGTCGACGTGTTCTCTTTGTATATTACACCAATCGTTGGAAGAAATCGCATGAAAAGAGGTTATAACAGAAGAAATTATTGTTCTTCGTTAGAGGCACATGAATACAAAGAAATCAACATGGATGGCGAATAATTCTTTTTTAATTAGAATTTGAATATTTTTTTTTTTAGATTATTTTATATCATTCCATCAATTCTTTGATATAAAATATTTTTTATAAAAATTTATTTCGTAGGTGACAGAAAAAACAACGACATATATTATGATTGGTTAAAAGTAAAATGACTCATTATGATCAGCAGGCTGTCTCTGCCTGACTTTTTTTATTGATGACATTTATTGCAAAAAAAAACAAAATAATTCATTTTATAATCTGTCGATTTTTCTTTAGATTAATAAAATCCTATGTAGTGATTCTGTTAATTGACAAGGACATATCAAAGAATAAAAGTGAGACAATCGTAGAATATGTAAGCGGTAGTGTCACTACTAATTTGGAGAAGTATCCCAATACTTCTTTGACAAGTCTTTTGCTACACATCGACACATATAGAAAACGAAAACAACAGTCTATGTAAAAGCTATTGAAAACAGCTCTAGAATAAGATTATTCAATTTTCTTTTCTACTTGAGTACATGACAGTATAATATATTAGTCATATTTATATATTGAAAACCTATGATTCAATGAGAAAATAGAAAGATAGACAAGTGCTTTCTTTTTCGTGTTTCAATGTTGAAAATTATTTGCGTTAGTGTTTTTTCGTGTAGTTTTCATTGTTATCGTTTATATTTACCTTTTTGCGTTGTTCTTAACCCTTTCTTTTCTTCATATTAACCCTTTTGTCGATTTCTCTCTTCTTTTTTTTTCTTTTTCTTTTTCATTTGAACCTCGATAGCGTTCTGCATACTAACATTGAAAGTAGAGGTAGCTTTTTCTCTCTTCTTCTACGAGGGAAAAAAAACAAAATGTTTGGATTTTTTATATAGCAATGTGACTCATTCTTTTTTTTTCTTATGAAAATTACTTCATATTATCAAATAGGTATATGATCATTCAGTCATTTTATACGTATTCAGCAATCTACATGAAACGAAAATAGTAGAAATAAGAATATATATTTCTTTCTTATTGTCAGTGTGAGTAAACAAATGTTGACGTAGCTTCATATACTTATAGAAACACATGCAGTGATGAGTAAACAATCACTGAAATAATTTTTAACTCTTGTAGATAGTTCATAACAAAATATGGTTTCAGCATTCACTTCTGTCTTTCTTCTAATTGGTAAGATTTCGACTTTACAAAAAAAAAGAATGTTTCATTGTTTTTATTGTTTATTAGCTTGTACCATCTTTATTTCATCAACTAATGTAAGACAAAAAAAAACCAACAAACAATTAATTTATTTACAACCTAATTCTTTTCTTTTTTTTTTAGGGAGTAAACCTTCCTGGTAATTACACATTACCAAAATCTTCACCAAATTTATGCTTTGCTGCTCGATTTGATCTTGTGATTAATATTGAATATCTAAAAATAGATGGAGTGAGTCACCAATTTTAATTATAAATAATAAACTATTTCAATTATTTTTCTTTAGAAAACAAATATTTCAAGAATTCCATTGAATAATCAAACTTTTCAATATTACGATGGAGAATGTTTACCATCTAATACTCATAAACTTACAATTGGAATGTTAAATAATTTAACAACCATAACATTTCAATTTGATCTTAATGAAAAAAATCAAACATCATTAACAAAAGTTTCTGGTGCTGTAACTATTGATAATACAGATTATTTTCCGAATTGTAGTGAGAATGTTAAAGGTCCACAGGCATTTATAGCAAATGAATCATTATTTATAACTGATCGTAGTAATTCTTATCGATGTAATACGAAAACAAAAATTGATAATTTAAAAATTAAGAATAATAATATTACAATTAAATCGATTGATCTAGAAAATTTACGCATTCAACCATTTGTTGATGAAAAGAGTCAATTTGTTGATTATGCTACTGGTAAAGTTAAATTTTATTTTTTTCTTAAAGCCTTTTTCTTTTTCTTTTCTATTATGAAAACATCATATTAACCTTTGGAATATACATTTGTTTTTTTTTTACTAGAAAAAGTTTGTACAATGGATATATTTAAAGGTCCAACTTTGATTCCAATTATTGTTGGTGTATGTCTTGCGGTATTAGTTGTTCTTATACTTGTTGTATATGTCGTTCGTCGTCGACGTTATCGTAATGGATATCAAAGTGTTTAAAATTAACATTAAAAATACGTGACATTCTTGATTTTACATTATTTTTCTTTTTTTTTTCGTATTGGAACATTTTCATTTATTTCATTGTGTTTAGAAATTTGAAGGTTTTCTTTTGAGTCAGTTGCACCTATATTCTGTATATACAAATCGACTAACTTTATCGTTCAGTTTTTTTTTCTCATTAAAAGTTCTGCTCTTTTAAACCAAGATGTGTATAATGGTTAACGCGATTACTAGAAACTCATGCTAACGCACTATGTTTTTTTCCTTTGGTTTTTTTTCGTTCGTTGAACAATAAACAAGCATTTCTTTCTTATAAAATATTCTGAAAGTATGATGATTCACAGATAATCATGACAATTGTTTGAAAGAAAAGATAAATAGGCGCATGTGTTGTAGCGACTACATTTACTTTTTAACAAAAAAAAAGGCGAGAGTCATGCGTGTGTATTTGTCAGATAAAAAGAATGCAAATAGATATACGAAGCACTTGAAATGTCTGCCATAAATTAATAAATTCAAAGCTATACTAAAAATAGAAATAAAAATTGAATGGTTCCTTACCAAGAAAAAACATGACAGAAATATGATTTGATATTTGCTGTAAATGGCCGAAAATTTAATAAATGATTTTAATTGTTGGTTTTGTTGTCGAAGGTCTTTAAATATGAAATAAACTATTGGATACTTTCATTCTATGAAACCAATAAAAAAAAAAGAAGAAAACGAGTAAATGCCGATCATTTAAAGATAAAACATTGAATTTTACTGAGAAAGGCACAAGAACCTATGTGCTTTATTGATGTTATTAATATGTTTGCATACAATCAAAATCCGTTTTTTTATTATCAATAGTAAATATTTAATTTTTTAATCGTTCTAGGTAAATAAAAGATAATGTAATCTATTGACTTCTTTATGTCATTGTATTTCTTCAAAAGTATAAATATATCTGCATGACCAAAGTTTTTAATAGGAGAATTTCGAATATTGAATATCTCGGGGTAGCACATACTAAAAAAGTTACAACTTGGTCAAAAAACTAATGTTATTGAGAAGTTCGTGTAAGCAAAGTTTGAAATCGAAAGTCTATTTTCTACGTGACTGCAGCTGTGTATAGAAAAATCCGTCCAAATTTCGATATCATCAGAATGAAGGCCCAAAAAACCAAACCATTCTTGACTTTTTTTATTACTCACTAGTACTCACCAAATGTACATTTTTTCGAAAGAAAAGTAATACAACATATGGAGAGGTTCTACCGATAGCTTTGTATTTTAATATTACAAAAGTATGATCGTATAGGCTCTTTCACTCTTAATTTAAGTGTAATAGAACTATTTCATTGTTTTTTCTTTTTTGTTTTGAGCTCAAACTTCGTTAAGGAAAACCATTTGAGTTTATCACTTCGTAAAGGTGATTAAGACATTGGATGTTCGTTTGTTAAAGATAAAATTTATATACCGGAAACGATGCATCCTCGTTGAATAAACTAATGAATGACTGCATTGTTATTGGTGAAAGATTTAGTTTTTTGTTCCGGAATGAATATATGAGAGTTCAAACACAGTGTATGAAAAGGATAGCAATCAAAAAGCATCAATATCTGCTAGAATTTAAAATGACAAAATGTTTTACATCAGGATTATCAGCTCTAAGATACACCTCATCAAAGGTAGCGCTACTTTCAACGTCTTGTACGCTTGAGCTGCCAATCCTGTTTTGCATTTTAATTTTAATAAACACAATTATGAGAGACCTTGCTCACGAATAAATGAAAAGATGATAGCGGCTTTAAGTAACACAATTAAATATTGAATTTATTAATAACTATTTCGACATTTCGATGAACTAATACACAGAGATTTCTCTTTTAGTAATAACTAGTGTCATGTCTCATAATAGTTAAAACATAGCATATGATTGCTTTCGATCTCGAGTCTCATATCTACGTAGAGTCCCATGAATGTATCAATATATAGTTTTGCCTATATAATAATAAAAATTCTAATCCTTTTGATTTTTTAAAAACGAGTAGAACCATTTGTTTTTCGGAAGATTTCCTATGCCGGAATATATAAAGACCATGCCAGTTTCGACACCACACTATCGTGTAAAATGCTCTCTACTTCGTATACAACTGTGCAAATTCGTTTCAACTTGATTCTTTTTCAACTTTAAAATTGAGCCGACATAGGGATTGGCGAGACTTGTAGCTGAGTCGCCACACATTGTAGTATCTCCTTTCACATCCGCGTGCACTCACGGTTACAGGATGATATTACTAATAAAGGAGTTAAATCATCTTTCTTTCTCTTGAGCTGATTGATCGAAGTAAGGGAATCAATGGCTAATTTTTTCTCTACGCTAGTCATGATTAAAGGGCTAATTATCCGCTGTCCGATCAATACTACATTGAAACTGAGTTAGAAAGATGTGGAATCAATAGAGTATATCGAACTCTACTCGGTAACCAGTTCAGCTGACGAGGGAATGTTCCTAACTGCTATGCATCGTTCGAACTCACGTTTTGTTGATGGTTAGAGTTGATTATGAATATAATTTAGCTAAAATAATTCATGCTATTGCTAAAGGGTGGGCCATAAGTCAGGTAACAGTTTTTTTATTCGATTTCTTTCTTATGCATCAATAGTTAGGACTCATATTTACACCACTGATACATCTTTGATTACTTAACTTACTCTGAAAGTTTCAGCCCTATAGAATGAGGATTCGATGATAAAAGTATAAATATATCTCATGTACTGAAGCAGCAGTGAACCAAAATTTTCTGTTTTCCTACTAAATTTTCTTTTTTCTGTTCTCAACCATATTCAATTTCTGCCGCTTAAATTAGGTAATTCCAGTTTCGTTCTTACCATTGAAATCTTTTTTAGATAGAATTATTCGCATAATGCCTAGAAAAAAACATATAGGAGCAGTTTCATCCATCCAAAGTTACTATTGTTGAGAACAGAAAAAAGAAAATTTAGCAGGAAAACAGCAAATTTTGGTTCACTGCTGCTTGAGTACATGAGATATATTTATACTTTTATCAACGCATCCTCATTCTATACGGCTGAAACTTTCAGAGTAAGTTAAGTAATCAAAGATGTATCAGTGGTGTAAATATGAGCCCTAACTATTGATGTATAAGAAAGAAATCGAATAAAAAAACTGTGTTACCTAGCTTATGGCCCACCCTATACATAGCTTCAAAGTTATGAGTGAAACAACTGCTTTGGTAGATGCCCATTTCGTATAAAACAGCTCGTAAACTGCCTTAAACCACTTGGAAGCAGTGAAAAACGCTTGTGGTTACGATGGTGATTGTGGTTAATGATCTGCCGTACAACGAAGAATTACAGTGATTAACAATGATCTTTACGCTGATCGTTTATGTACTAGCGGAAACTATTGCCATTACGACAGTCGCTTTTACATCGTTTTCCGTCTTTTCAAGAAGTATCTTAAAATCTTCATTAGACCCTTTCTAATGCTAAATAATCGTTTGGTCATTGCCTATTTTAAAAAAAATACTTTTTTTTATCAGATTTCTTTCACCATCTAGTGCAATAGTAAATATTGTATTTGAATAATTATATTTTTTTAATCTAGATTTATTTCAATGAAATATTCAGTAGTAAGTATCGAATTAAAATAAATAAATTTTGTTTGTTAAGCTAAAAGAAGATGAGGAGGGGGCCTAATACAGTGCTCCTCTGCACTAAGGACACGACAAAAGATGAATAATGTCGTGAACTAGAAAAACTGGTGTAAATAGGACACTATATGACGAGAATACTGCCATAATGCTACACATCTTACTTGTCGGAAACGGCCTTAAACGACGGTGGTTTTTCATCATTTAGAGCGGCAAGCATGCCATTTTTTCACCGTTTTAGGCAGTTTAAGATGTTGTTTCAGATGATCGGAATGATCGACCAAAGTAGTGCCACTATTTATTCACTACTGTTTTGTTCTTTTCATATGTTAACTAGAACATATTTCTCTATACTTTTTTCGCTTGAATAAAATTAGATAAGCTGGTAATAAAAAGTCAATCAAAAAAAGTAGGTTCTAATTAGGATAAGAAAAGAACAACTTATAGCGCATTGATTAGGACGCTATTTATCATAGCAGCTGTTTTGCTCATAACCCTGAAACCATGCAGCAATGGCATAAATCTTTTTAGGTATTTTATATATATAATCAACTCTAGCTACCAACAAAAGATGAGCGCCAACGGTGTAACAGTTGGGAATGTTCCCTCGTTAGTTCGATAGAGCTTTACAGCAAATCCGTTCAAGAAATACTTGAATCTTATCGTAAGATATCCTACGTAAATAAAGTGCTGTACCTTCTGGCATGAAGATTAAACTATTTATTGTTTCATTTACGATAATTGACAAAGAAAAAAGAGTTTTGCATTATTTTTTGTCGTACCCTTTTGATTTACCATCAAATAAAACAAAACATAAAATCTCCTTTTCACAGGTCCCGGATGTAGTAATGATCTTATCAATCAAATTGATAAGATGCATGTGGTCAACATTTTGCAACATTCTATTTCTTTAATAGCTTGGAAAACGATCAACGCAATAAACTCGCAGATCTTTGCCGTATTTTGATGTAAGTTATTTATTGATAATGCTGAAATGTGTAAGATGATGATTAGATATATTAAAAAAACAACCTTTTAAAATAAAATAGCGAGATAATTATTACAGGAAAATAAAGAGAGAAAAAGCTGAACGAACCAGTTAATGTTTAGAAGACTAGCTACTATTATCGAAATTTAAAAAAAGGCCATCGGGCAAAATGCTTATAACTTTTGAACAAAGATAGCTAGAGCCCTGCGGTTTTCACCATTCGAAAGGGAAGACAAGGGAACGCCTTTTTCTCCAATATTGTATAGGACGAAATCATTTAAAAATCAGTCATTTCTACAAAACATCGAAAAAAATGTATAAAAAACGGTCTGCCATTCAGTTGAAAAT